TTCATGTGTTCCATCTACAAACCCACCTGGTAACCTAAGAGTATCCATCTCCCCATTTACAAGCCCTCCTGTCAAACCACTAGTCAATGCGTCCGTGTTTCCACCAAGCCCTCCAGTCAAGCCACTAGTCAATGCGTCGGTGTTTCCACCCACAACGCCTTCCGCTGTTTGACCACTGTTTGACGTATCACTTTTTCCACCGACAAGACCTCCTGTCAAAGCTGTTGTGGTTGCTCCACCCACTAGGCCTTTTGTCAAGCCACTGGTCAAATCTGAGTTTGCTCCGCCCGCCAGACCTCCTGTCAAACCACTGGTCAAAGCTGGGGTTGCTCCGCCGATAATGCCTTCTGTCAAACTATTGGTTAAAGCTGGGTTTGTTCCGCCCGCCAGACCCCCTGTCAAACCACTGGTCAAAGCTGGGGTTGCTCCGCCGACAATGCCTTCTGTCAAACCATTGGTTAAAGCTGGGTTTGTTCCGCCCGCCAGACCTCCTGTCAAACCAATCGTCAAATCCGGGGTTGCTCCACCCTTAATGCCTCCTATCAAGCCACTGGTCAACGCTGGGGTTGCTCCGCCCAAAAGACCACCCTTCAAGCCACTGGTCATTGCATCTGTTTTTCCGCCCAAAAGAGCACCCGTTAAGCCACTGGTCAATGCATCTGTTTTTCCGCCCAAAAGACCACCCGTTAAGCCACTGGTCAGTTCATCTGGTTTTCCACCCAAAAGACCTCCCGTCAAACCACTGGTCAAATCTGTGGCTGCTTCGCCCAGAAGACCACCCGTCAAGCCACTGGTCAATGCATCTGTTTTTCCGCCTAAAAGACCTCCCGTCAAACCACTAGTCAACGCTGGGGTTGCTTTGCCCAAAAGACCTCCCGTCAAACCACTGGTCAGTGCATCTGGTTTTCCGCCCAAAAGACCTCCCGTCAAGCCACTGGTCAAAGCTGCGGTTGTTTTACCCAGAAGGCCTCCTGTCAAACCACTGGTCAAAGGTTTGATTGCTGCGCCCAAAAGACCTCCTGTCAAACCACTGGTCAAAGGTTTGATTGCTCCGCCCACGAGATCTCCTGGAGAGGCACTATCAAGAGCGTTCAAGATGTCACCTGTGAGAGAAGATAATTCTCGAGTAACCAATAGTATATAATGTCACACTGCATTATTAATGTTACGCTTTACCAATAACAGCACAAATAAGGAATGAAAAATTTATTGTCTGCCATACTTTTCGCGCGAGCTCAATTAATAAACGCAATCATGGTGGTCACATGCTCTAAAGAATTTAACAATATTGTTTGACTGTGTCCAGCCATCTGTTACCATCAACTGATTCAGTCCCAGCCATCTGTTACCATCAACTGATTCAGTCCCAGCAATATGTTACCATCAACTGATTCAGTCCCGGCCATCTGTTACCATCAACTGATTCAGTCCCAGCCATCTGTTACCATCAACTGATTCAGTCCCGGCCATATGTTACCATCAACTGATTCAGTCCTCCCAGCCACCTGTTACCATCAACTGATTCAGTCCTCCCAGCCATCTGTTACCATCAACTGATTCAGTCCCAGCCATCTGTTACCATCAACTGATTCAGTCCCAGCCATCTGTTACCATCAACTGATTCAGTCCCAGCCAAATGTTGCCATCAACTGATTCAGTCCCAGCCATATGTTGCCATCAACTGATTCAGTCCCAGCCATCTGTTACCATCAACTGATTCAGTCCCAGCCATCTGTTACCATCAACTGATTCAGTCCCAGCCATATGTTGCCATCAACTGATTCAGTCCTCCCAGCCATATGTTGCCATCAACTGATTCAGTCCCAGCCATATGTTGCCATCAACTGATTCAGTCCTCCCAGCCATATGTTGCCATCAACTGATTCAGTCCCAGCCATCTGTTGCCATCAACTGATTCAGTCCCAGCCATATGTTGCCATCGACTGATTCAGTCCCAGCCATATGTTGCCATCAACTGATTCAGTCCCAGCCATATGTTACCATCAACTGATTCAGTCCCAGCCATCTGTTACCATCAACTGATTCAGTCCCAGCCATATGTTGCCATCAACTGATTCAGTCCCAGCCATCTGTTACCATCAACTGATTCAGTCCCAGCCATATGTTGCCATCAACTGATTCAGTCCCGGCCATCTGTTACCATCAACTGATTCAGTCCCAACCATCTGTTACCATCAACTGATTCAGTCCCAGCCATATGTTGCCATCGACTGATTCAGTCCCAACCATCTGTTACCATCAACTGATTCAGTCCCAGCCATATGTTGCCATCGACTGATTCAGTCCCAGCCATCTGTTACCATCAACTGATTCAGTCCCAGCCATATGTTGCCATCAACTGATTCAGTCCCAGCCATCTGTTACCATCAACTGATTCAGTCCCAGCCATATGTTACCATCAACTGATTCAGTCCCAGCCATCTGTTACCATCAACTGATTCAGTCCCGGCCATCTGTTGCCATCAACTGATTCAGTCCCAGCCATATGTTGCCATCAACTGATTCAGTCCCGGCCATCTGTTACCATCAACTGATTCAGTCCTCCCAGCCATATGTTGCCATCAACTGATTCAGTCCCAGCCATATCTTGCCATCAACTGATTCAGTCCTCCCAGCCATATGTTGCCATCAACTGATTCAGTACTCCCAGCCATATGTTGCCATCAACTGATTCAGTCCCAGCCATATGTTGCCATCAACTGATTCAGTCCTCCCAGCCATATGTTGCCATCAACTGATTCAGTCCTCCCAGCCAAATGTTGCCATCAACTGATTCAGTCCTCCCAGCCATATGTTGCCATCAACTGATTCAGTCCTCCCAGCCAAATGTTGCCATCAACTGATTCAGTCCTCCCAGCCATCTGTTGCCATCAACTGATTCAGTCCCAGCCATCTGTTACCATCAACTGATTCAGTCCCGGCCATCTGTTACCATCAACTGATTCAGTCCTCCCAGCCATATGTTGCCATCAACTGATTCAGTCCCGGCCATATGTTGCCATCAACTGATTCAGTCCCAGCCATATCTTGCCATCAACTGATTCAGTCCTCCCAGCCATCTGTTACCATCAACTGATTCAGTCCCAGCCATCTGTTGCCATCAACTGATTCAGTCCCAGCCATATGTTGCCATCAACTGATTCAGTCTTCCCAGCCATCTGTTGCCATCAACTGATTCAGTCCCAGCCATATGTTGCCATCAACTGATTCAGTCCCAGCCATCTGTTACCATCAACTGATTCAGTCCCCGCCAAAGCGTGTGGCTAGGCCAGGTAATGTCCACATGTGCTAACATCCAATGATATGATTCTGAGGTTTGTCCTAATCCGGCTTTTTTTTTCCACCCTCTAAAATAAATGGTGTCGGTACTCAGAATAACATGTATATTACAGTTCCGCTAAAATAAATACTTAAAATTAAAGGTGCTGGTTCTGCGTGCCGCCAGAATAGTACCCTGGTTTTAAGTACTATTTTTTCCTGTTGGGATTCCAGAGTGCCATTGTGGGGGAAACAAGAATAGAATCACTGCCTCCCCAAGAAGCATGTGGTCAAGCCACTGGTCAATGCATCTGTTTGTCCTCCCAAAAGACCACCCGTTAAGCCACTGGTCAATGCATCTGTTTGTCCGCCCAAAAGACCTCCCGTCAAACCACTGGTCAACGCTGGGGCTGCTCCGCCCAAAAGACTAAATGTCGACTAACTTGAAGTTACTTTGAAGTCGGAGAGCTCTGCCCGAGAGGCAAGGAACCAACAGTCTGCATACAATTAAGTCAGATCTGTTAAATGGATGTACTCGCAACACTCAGGTACTGCAACAAAACTAAAGTCCTGAGGTGAACAAACAAAGAGAACTTTCCGCCTAAGTTTACAGCCACTGCAAGCGAAGAAGAAGAAAAAGTGTATAATATACGATATTCACATTATATGCCTAACTGATAGTTCTCTTGCTTTGTTCGGTACACATCACGAAAATCACCCCGTCACGTCGCACGAAAGTTTCGTGTCGGCTACGATTCATGCTGTCCAATGTTGCATGAGTTTTAGATTATGCGTTTCTTCGTCTTCGCTGTATATACAAACCATGCGGAAAAGCGGTTCCCCTTCGCTCGAGACCCAAAACGAAAGTATGGAGCTCTCTTTCGCGGCATTAGGAGAGTCTCGTCTCATCTATTTTGAAAATAGACCGTGATGGCCACTCTCATCGTGGAATATGGAATGCTTGTAGAGTGAAAGTAACCAAACGTGACACCCCTAGAACACGGGGCAGCCTGTATGAAATCTTGCGCCCGACATGATGGGGTGATTTTCGAGATATTTACCCTTGTTTCATTTTTTTTTCTGTACGCCCCTCTTCCCCAACCACCGTAATCGAAATGTAGAAGTTTGACACACACAGCGACTGATCAAGCTTCTTTACGCACGTCAGTCAAACACAAACATATCCTACCGACCCAGTGCAACCATTTGCTCTTCTTGGCGTTCAGCACTGCAAACTCCAGCGAACAGTTCTGGTTGTCCGTCCGTTCTGGACACTAGTCCTGTGCTACAACCTGATTGTTGCGTGCACAGATCCTACAGCCGTTTAAAACAGTTTGGACATGTTCATTGTAACTTGTTATTTTATGGAATACTCGGCTAAATCTTTACAGTCAAGGCCTAGTAGACTACACTATGATGCTTTATCTAGCCAAGTCAGTCTGAGTACCACCGCCCTACAGTGTCGCATGCACAGAACATTTCATATTTGAACACTAAATAATAAACATAGTCCCTAACTATTATGTTTTACTTTCTTGACAACTATTTCGTCAGTTTCAAAGTAAAACCTTTACGAAAACCCAGTATCTTCTTACAAGTACAGAAAACTGAAAGTAAATAAATCCACGGTTCTGAACTCTTACCTGTTGGACTTTGACTGAACTCTTACCTGCTGGACTTTGACTGAACTCTTACCTGTTGGACTTTGACTGAACTCTTACCTGTTGGACTTTGACTTCCCAGAAGACCACCGCCAGGCGAAGGTCCCAAAAGTCCATCAGCGGGGCTGTCTTTCTCTCCGAGAGACCCATCAAGTCCTTCTGAAGCTCCTGAAAGTCCACCAAGAAGACTTTTTCCTCCTAAAATACCACCAAGGACACCTCCATTGCCAAGAAGCCCACCAACAAACCCATCCTTTCCTCCTCCAAGAAGCCCATCTGCAATTCCCACAAGTCCATCAGTTAGACCTCCAGTTGTATTGCCAAGAAGCCCAGCAGCTAGACCTTTGTCCCCACCTAGAATATCCCCAATCAGCCCCTCTTTCTTCCCAGTCAACTCTTCTAAAAGACCTCCGACTGTATCGACAAGAAGTCCACTGTCAAGGCCTGCAGACTTATCCCCACCCAGGATGTCACCTTTATTTCCAAGAAGCCCATTGAGGAGACTTCTGTTTCCTCCAATAAGCCCACTGACTGAACCCCCTGAAAGAAGCCCCCCAGTCAGATCTGTAACACCATGAATCAAATTCTTTGCCAAGCCGTCTGAGAGATTCCCTGTTAGACCTGTCAGTCCCTTAGATAGACTGTCCAGCTCGCCGACTAAGCCGCTAGTTAAACTAGATAGACCGCCAGTTAATCCTTTAGCCAGACCTTCACTTAGTGCAGTCGTAAGACCTCCTGATAATCCATTAGTTAGGCCATTTGTTAACCCTTTGGTTAATCCCTTGCTCAGACCTGAGATTAATTCCTCTGATAACCCTTGGATCAATCCCCCAGCCAATCCAGATGCCAACCCCTTTGAAATCCCTGTCGTCAAACCATCTGCTAGACCTACAGACAAGCCGCCTGCCAACCCATTGACCAATCCTTTCGTCAGACCCTCGTTCAATCCTTGCACCAATCCGCCTGACAATCCATCCGATAACCCGCTGGATAAACCTTGGGAAAGTCCATCTGATAATCCCTTAGTGAGCCCAAGAGTTAATCCTGCTGTGAGTCCTTCTGTTAACCCCTTGGTAAGCCCATCTGTCAGCTCTCCAGCAAAACCATGAGTCAGTCCATTTACAATATCACCCAAACACCCACACACATCGCAGGCCTGTACTTTAGATGGACACGCCGGCTTTTGATCACATGTGGGAACCTCTTTTACTGTTGGAACATCCACATGTGGAAGAGCTTTCTCGGTCGTTTTCACAGGCTCAAACACACTGGTGGAAGTCTTCGGCGGTTTCGGTGTCGTTTGTGGTACTTTCGGGTCATTTGCACAACCGCCGTCTTGTCTACCTTCTTGTCCACAACGACTAGAGTCACCAATGAGCCCACCAGTTAAAGCTGACACCGTCTCCACCACTTCTTGGAGCAGCCCACCTTCCAGGAGAGACACCGTGTTCACGATGTTGTTTAATAGGTCACTTTCTGAACAGCCGTCAGTGATAATGGGCTGGTCACCAAGTTTCAAGCAGATGTCGAGAAGTCCGCGTCGGTGGCGATCATTAGACCCTGCAAACAAACAATTGAAACCGTTAAGATGCAACAGGTGACGTTACAAGCCCACCTGTAGTCTACTTCTGACCCACACAATTGGCGACCTCTAGACCCACTCACTGCCCACTCAATAGTTGAACAGAATTTTACTCAAAGTCTTCTAAATGGAACCTTCACTTCATTTAGTCGCTTCTCTTCTACCTTCGGGTGCCAGAAAGATCGCCCGACGTCTCTATCAGTCTAATCTTCCCGACAGCTGCCTTCAATTCTTCCATTTTGATGTTATCAACACCATGGGTATTTCCTTCTACAACCCAACCCCGGTTACGCCCTATAGGCCAACCCCTCCCTCCCCTCCTTAGACACTCAGTGTACGCTTTTGGCTTCTAAGCCGCCCCTTTTTTCGTCCCCACCCGCGGGTTGGAGATATATAGGCTGACCGTCATTTCATTGTACGAAGTTTTTTCGCCAGGGACACAGATGAGTATCATTTATTTTATACATTAGAGTCCTATGTAGTCACTTCATAGTTAGAGCATATTTGTGTGTATGTACAGTGTTGTCCTTTATGTGCTGATGAAGGCTAACCGCCGCAACGTCTTTTGTTTGTTTATTGTGATCGATTTTGTAAAGCTAACATAAACTATATGTTGTTTCATACCAACTTTTCTCTTCCCTATAATTTTCTTAAAAACTTTCCTTCTCAGTAGCGAGGTCCGTCAGTTCTGGGTCATGACTTCCCTCAACAACAAGGAGCTTGGAGAAGGATTCTTTCCACCTGTCCATGACATCATTTGTTGTAGTAAGCAGAGCCCCTTCCTTGTCTCATGAATTTCAGCGGGCACTCTTTCTGCTTCTTTATGTTCCTGAGGAACTTATAGAACAGTTTTTAGTTTTCTGTTGCATTCTTTTCCAACTTTTCTCCAAATTCATTTTTTTTTTTTTTTTTGTTCTGAATGTCACACATTTCTTCAGCTGTTGCTAGCTGCCATGTATTGCTTCCATGTCTTTTTCTTATCTGCTATTTTCAGTTTGACTTCACCCGTCCGCAAAGGTGGCCTCTGTCTCCTTCTTCCACTTGGGACTTCACCACATGTTTCTGCTGCATCTTCTGTGAGGATATTCTTGAATCTGCACCCAGTGTTTCCGGTACACAGAACCAGAGTCTTTCATTTGGTGAACCGGTGGCAGGATTGGCCTGCGCGCATCAAGGCTGTGCATGTGTTTATTCTGTCAAGCTTCTTGAGACGGGCTTTTACGACAGTTACAGTTACACTGGTTTAGAAAGTACAGTCATAAAACACAATGGTTCTTGGCACACAGATAGAGAACAGCAAAGAGGTAGAAGACCAAAATAAAAAAAGAAACAGATAGAAGATGGCAAACAGATAGAGTTGGGCAAACAAACAGATGATAGCACATCGACAGAGTCCGGTGAACGTGACAATGGACACTGGACATCATGGGGAAATACATGAAACCTGGGAAAGAGGCAATGATTGTCTTCTAACGAGCAGCGATGAGAGCCACATTGTGTACAGAGCTAGATCGCACGGAAAGTATCTGGATAATAAGCTAACATGTTTTGAAAGATGTTATCTCTGTTGGGGTTTTGAACAAAATTGTTGGGAGTAGTAGGTGGAGAAGGGGGGGGGGTGGGAAAAGAAAGAAGAAGAAGAAGAAGAAGAAGAAGAAGAAGAAGAAGAAGAAGAAGAAAGAAGAAGAAGAAAGAAGAAGAAAGAAGAAAGAAGAAAGAAGAAAAGAAGAAAAGAAAGAAGAAAGAAAGAAAGAAGAAGAAGAAGAAGAAGAAGAAGAAGAAGAAGAAGAAGAAGAAAGAAATTAGGGCGTAAGTACAAATTATTAGAAACAACAGAAAGAGACAGTTCGCAAGTTCCAACAGCAACTATTACTCACCGCCTGGCTGCAGATATGTCCAGTGACAGTTGTTGACGCAGTGGTTCTCGCAAGCGTCCCGTCCTGACTCCACAGTGATCATCCAGCAAAGGTTGCATAAATCTTCACAATCCACAGACTGAAGGGCTGGCACAGACGATCTGAAGACATTAGTTCGACAACAGAAATATTACAACAACCATCACTGCAATCACACACATTACTGCCACAACCGGTGCAATATTTAAAGATACACACGCACGCACACACACACACACACATACAGAGAGAGAGAGAGAGAGAGAGAGAGAGAGAGAGAGAGAGAGAGAGAGAGAGAGAGAGAGAGAGAGAGAGAGAGAGAGAGACTAACATCACCATCATGACTAAAATCATCATCCCCATTTAACCATCAAACATAACCATCAAATGAGATGTCTAAGAAGGGCTTCAGGAACGAACATTCGAGAAACAGGCAGAAATGGGGTCATAAGAGAACAAGTCGGCATAGAACCATTTCAAAATTACATAGTAAAGACAGTAAATCCTATGGTTTGCATACTCAGAGAGAATGCCTCGTGACGACAAACCAAACAAGATATACACGAAAGGAGAAGAAGGACCTAGGGCACGAGGCAGACCAAGAACAACATGGAAAGAACATCAGAGAAAAATACAACAGCACGATGTGTCTATGGTAGAGGCGGCTAGAAAAGTAGAGAGCAGAACCTTTTATCTCCCTCAACACAGCTTCACAAGAGGAAGTGAAGAAGAAGAAGACGAAAACAGAAGACGAAGAAGACCATTGTCATTATCACATCAGCAGTTAACACTGATCACAACATCACAGTTACCATCACAGTCAACCCTGCAATCATCATCATTACTATCATCAACAGTGCAATCATCATCATTACTATCATCAACAGTGCAATCGTCATCATTACTATCATCAACAGTGCAATCGTCATCATTACTATCATCAACAGTGCTATCGTCATCATTACTATCATCAACAGTGCAATCGTCATCATTACTATCATCAACAGTGCAATCGTCATCATTACTGTCATCAACAGTGCAATCGTCATGATCATAACCGCCAAAAACACCACCATCAATGACACTAGCATTATCATTATAGCGAGCAACCCAAAGACATAAAGCCATAAACAATTTGTTTCTCATCAACGCAATGCAAAAGTTTCAAGCATAGGCGTTTTTTTTTTTTTTTTTTCAGATAGAAGAGAAATAGGACATAAATTAAATGTTTACATATTATGCCAGGTCAGTGGTGGCCAAACTTTTCGGTCACAAGAGCCAAAAATCAGTGGCAGAACGATTAAAAGTTTTTTAAGAGCCAATGTCAAGAACCATGTTGTTCGGAGTCAAAACCGATTTGTGGCCGACTGGCTGAGCCACACACATTTCGCTAAAGAGCCGCATGCGGCTGACGAGCCCTTAGTTCCCGACAACTGTTTTAGGTGTAACGAGGAAAAATCGACATCAGGAGGAGAGTCAGCACAGAACCAATACTGAACTGTATCAGTAGACACCAGATCAAACAGTTTGGCCACGCAACAAGACCAACAACCGACAGAGCACCATACAGAGCAGCGTTAAACACATACAGGGGTAACAGAGCCAGAGATTGACAAAGAAGAAGATGAATCACAACAATATCAGAGACAATGAAATGTATTTTATACGAAGCGAACAGAAAAGGTCGGTTATAGAGGTCTCTTCCTGCCCGGACGCCGCGAGTCATTGCAGGAGTAGAGAAGACAAAGGAAGAAAAGACTTTACACACATTTAAGAATTAAAATCAGAAATAGGGAAGTTGGATCACCAAACGTCTTAGTGATTATTCTGCTGCTTCCATACTCTTTGAAGGTGCTAGTAATGATGATAATCATGACTAGGATTATGATGCCGATGATGATGATGATGCCGATGATGATGATGATGATGATGATGATAATAACAAAAGAATAAAGGCAAATTGACAACAAGGAAAAAAGAGTACAGTGGACACAAGGACACAAAAATCTTCCAATGTCCCAGAATCCCTGGATCTAAAGGAAAACATTGACACAGCCACCTGGTGTCACTCCAGTCGACGTCCTTCACCTTCCGCTGGACGGCGCTGTCCCAGGTTTTCTCTGCAGAATCAAAGATTTCAGTAAAGCCTCTTTTTAGCAAAGCTCTTAAACTGGAAACATGGGTAGGATCTGCAAACACGGAATCTGCAGATACAGGCTCTGCTGACACGGAATGTGCGGGCACTGAATCTGTAGACACAGGATCTGCTGACTCGGTATTAGTGGACACATGATCTTGTAACAGATAATTTGTTGACACAGGATCTGCTAATACAGACTCTGGTAGTCCAGGATCTTCTGATACAGGATCTGCAGACCCGAGATCAGTGAACATATTCTCTGTTGACCCGGATTCCCGAGATAAACTTTCTATCTCCGCTGGTTTGTTGACAGTTTGGTCTGGCGGGAAGGCAATCACTTGTGAACATAAGGCCAATAGTCCAACTGCAAAAACTGCAACAGCCATTCTAAACAGCATCTGGGAAAAAGATATCAGTCCATGATGAACGTCACTACATCAGCAGTGAAAACCAGCTTCAAGACAGAGGGTAAACAAATACATGTGATTACAGCACTGCAAGTGGGCTTTCACCAGGGAAAGATAGAGTTTTCAGTTACTTCTTTTTAAATTCTGATTATCTTTCTTCTTCTTCTTCTTCTTCTTCTTCTTCTTCTGCCTTTCAATCCCCAAATGGAGCATATGCCCTCAACCAACTCACGCAATTAATACTCGCTTTTACATGGAGCTCTCTCCCTGTACTTCCGTATCATTATAACTGCATTCTCCCGCTCTCTTCTCCGTGTGTTTTTTTTAGACTTCCTTTATTATTCCAGGTGCCAATTCTGGAGGCTTTCCTAGCTGAGAGGAGGTACGTCAACGATCCGGACTCCTTACGGCTTTCTCCACACCGTGTCATACTTCTTCTATTTGAAGAGCCTCTTCTCATCTTGGTTGTCTGGGTTTTACTTGCTTCTCTTTTTAACTTATCAATGGTGGTTGGTTTTTGTGGGTATTGTTTTTAC